TCTTTTTGTGAGAGGACACCCTAGACCGGTCCACAAACTTCTTACAGATCACATCAAAAACTGCTTCATATATTGATCAAATAACAGTTTTTCATAACGTTAGAGAATTATTACATCGGTATGAAATATTTAAAACTTATCCTGAGTTATCTTTTATCTTTTGATTGAGAATTTTTTATTTTTTTTAACTCGTCTTTAAATGGGTCAAATTATACCAGATTATTTCATTTCTGTGAATTATTTATCTGCAAACTGTCAGTAAACAAAAACACAGTCAACAGGAAAAAGTCAGTCCACCCTTCTGATTTAAGTTTATTTATTAATTTAATCAGATTAATAACAAAAGGCTGAAGGCCACATTCCAATCAAGTTTACAAAAACAACAGATTTCACCTTTTCATTTTATTATTTATAATAAACAGAATCAAAGGCAAAATAGAAAATCTGTTTGTGAAAAACAAAGTCCATCCTGCCCGGACCTTCACACCACCTCTGGTCTCGATCTCTGAGTTTAATGAAACCGCAACTAAAGATTTCCTGTTTTCTTGACATTTCGAGTCTCCAGCAGTGGCAGCTCACTGAGATACGCCATTATTTTGGAATTTTGTTAGTTATTGAGTCATTCCCAGTCTAGGAGGTGGCAGGATGGAACATGAACGTGATTCCAACTAGACGGGATTGTAGTTTTGTAGAAACAGACTTTTTTTACAGTGAATATTTTTACCAAATTTAGTCTTACCGTGATCGGGGTGAGTCCAGGTCAAAATAGCCAACTAAACCTGAACCATAATTTTATTCCTTCTCTTACCTATGTGCAAAAATAAAGTTCATAAAACGGTTTTCTTACCTTTCTAGACCAATAAACAGGAGAAAAACTTTGAAGGAATGGCAGCTCTCACCTCACAAAACTACAAACTAGATGCACTCAGAGCGCACCCCCGCAGAGACTCCAGGGCCGCTCACGCTGTTGCATGAAGTCGTTACGACGAGCTGAAGCTCTTTCATCATACGTTCTGATTTTAGTTTTCTCAGTCAATAAACAGACGCAGACGTAGAGCGAGGCACGATTCCTACCTGTCCTTGTTTTTTCTTATCGTTTCTGTTACAACACAGCAAGCTGCAGCAGCCGCTTTCATTCCTGTAGTGTTTCCCCTACCATTGTATAAGCAGGCTCCCCCGCCCTGTCAATAGAACAGAGTGCCCTGCCTACCGCACCAAAC